TTTCTTCAAAAAAAAAAAAAAAAAAAAAATAACCAAAAAAAATAATTTTTTAATATAATTTTTTTTTTTTTTTTTTTTTTAAAAAAAATAATTATTAAAAAAAAAAAAAAAAAAAAAAAAAAAAAAAAAAAAAATTATTTCAAATTTATTTTTCGTTTCAAAACAGTTTTTGATCGAAATAACGAATCAAATTTCTTAATTGGTCGGTATTTCTGTTTTTATTGCCAGAAATGTAATCTCGCGGCGTTTGTTTCGCTTAAGGCCTGATTCCATTGATCTCGTAACGCAAAGCAAAGCAAAGCAAAGCAAAGCAAAACAACGTAATAGTAAAAATGCTTGATCGGTCAGTTTTTGGTTTAAAACTTTCTCGAATATCTTTGTGTATAACATGCATAGTATATGGCCTAGGGAAAGAATACTTTTTAATATTTCCAGTAATTTCCCTTTAATACTTCTCCGGGACTCCTTTTAATGGAATTGCGACACAATTACGCAATTCATGTTTTATATGATTTATAAGCTGAAGATTATGCATATGTAGCGGTACTGCTAATCAGCGAAAACGATCTATGCCAGTCTCATCTCTTCTTATCGATCGTTTGTAGTATAAAAATACAAGACTAAAATTCTGTATCCATTTTCAGAGAGAAGCTAAAATACTGAAACTTTCAAGGAGTTTGTGATTAAATTCAAGAGATTTTTTGCATGCGATTAATTTGCATGCGATTAATTAAGCGTTCTTTAGCGACAGTATTTTTTCTATTACTTAAGCGATTTACAGACGATTGCGCAATTAGTTGAGCAGCAAAAGTCTTTGACTTTTATTTGTTGCCAAGCCTTTTTACTATTGCTCTAAAGCTACAAAAACTAACTCACTCTAGTCTGCAAATCATGTTTACCAAAAATATCTTCAACAACTAAATACAACGTTACACATAATTGTATGCTTAGTGAACGTTCAATCAGTGAACGTATAACATAAACTGATCGCGCGTGGACCTCTCTCTGACTGCGGTCACACTCTGCCGCTCTTTAAAATCTTGATGCAATGTTGATGAAAATTAAGTCCAAGCGCATTTAAGTCTAAGCGCAAATTACCAAAACACATGGAACTATGGCGAAAGTCATATGTTATTATCTTTTCGTAACAAAGTTTTAAAAAATGTGAAGAAGTCGAGCAGTACTAAATAGTAAGTGTTCTTAAATTTTGCAAATCACTACGAATCGTGCTTTACTATTAGTTGCGGTACGAGTTCGCGAATCGGGGCCTTATGCATTTGCGATTTTTTGTATTTTCCGTTTCGTTTATTAATATGAAAATAATAAAACAAGCTGTGCTGCTGCTGCTTTACTTTAAAATATTTATTTCCTTTTTCGTTCTTTCTGCCATATCCTTTCCTGTGTGGCTATAGTTAGTTAGTATTTTGTTGGTTTCTTTTTCTATACATGTGTGTGTATGTCTTTCTTTATTTTTATCTTCTTCCACGAAATCCAGGTGTTTTTTGATTTGATGCGCGAAATAAGATCACGCAAAACTGAAGATTCAAAAGCTACCAGTGGGCGTGCAAAAGATAGATGCAAGAAGCGGAGACTTAAGTGTACACTACTTTAGGCAATAGGTGCATAAACACTTACTTAAAACGTACAATAAATAAATTAAATATTAATTGTATTTTTTATGCATTAGTTTTATTTTTAATACGGTTTTCATTTGCAATAATTTATTGTTAATAATTATAAATTTTTTTTCTTCTTCTTCTTCTTCTTTTTATCATTCACTTTTTCATCCATTTTATAAACACTTTTACTCTTCATTCATTTTATGTTCACAATTTCTTTTAATAACTCCTCGCTCTAATTCCAATGCACAATAAATGTTTCGCTTTTTTCCCATTATACCTCATTCTCTGTCAACATACGTACATACGTTTATTATGCTTAATTGTTCCTTCTATTAACACCTAAAAATTACCGGCATAAACATAATCTTCTTACGAACCTTGAATGGGCGATAACTCTAAAATTCGTTTAAGAAAATTTTGTCTTAAATTAAAGTTCAAAAGGAAGAAACAAAGAAAAAAAAAAAAAAAAAAAAACACGAAATGAGTAAAAAACATGCTTTCATCTCTGGTTAGCTAACCACAGTAAGTTTTTAAAGCATATCTGGCAATCAGATGTCGGCGGAGAGTACGAAAGAATGTCGAGACAGTTTTACTCTTTATATGACTTACCCACTGCCAGTAGTTTTATATCGGAACGAGAAAGAATACACATACATTTGTATATATATATATATATATATATATATATATATATATATATGTATGAATATGTGTAGGTGTAAAACTAGGAAAAGCGGAGTTTATTGAAAAAAAGAAAAACTTCTTTACATCTCTTGTCGAAACGGCCTTACAATCTGTGATACGGCTTTTTAGACTTGGGTGACTTTGCCGTGAAATGTTTCTTTCATGGGCACTTTGGTGTTGGGAAACAAAGAAGGAGGATGTAGGAGAATTCAAATTTCTTTCGTCTCTCAATGTTTAACGGGTGACCTAAGGGTCTTTACCTAAGATATGAAAAACAACTGGGACGCAGACCTTCCCTTTGCTTAAATGCTTTGTCAAAGTTTTTTATTTATATCTTTCGTCGCATTTAATTCCGCAGCTATTTACCTCATTTTACCCCTATTTGTATTTCGACGATTGTTTTTTTTTTTTTTTTTTTTTGACCGATCTCGGTTCGGTTCGTCTTACAATCGCTTATATCGTTCGAACACAAAAGTTCGAATGGTCCTATGAAAATTTCGCTGAGCTTCCCGTTTGTGAACTTCGGTTTTCAAAATATAGTTTAAAATTTTCCTCGCTGTTATGCATATTTCCATCTCGCGTTTACTGGAAAGACGAAACTGATGACCAAAACGTTTCCACACATTTTTTTCGATTAACTTTAATCTTATACCCATGGAATATATTGGTCGCTATTTTTTTCGATATTCACGGGCTTTTTGCAAAAAACTGATTATACACTCACAATAGTGTCCACCGCCGGTAAATTTCGGGCAGCGTACGAATCTTGCATCGAAGAACTGGTCATCAATTTCAAACTGTCCGCCGATCGATTTAATTTTTAATTTTTTTCATAAGAGCAGGGGCGCTGGGCGGCCAAGCCGTGTGCCGCTGACCGAAATAAGTGATAGTCAGAGAGAGAGAGCAATGTGTAGAGAATGCGGCAAATGGAAGACGAATAGCCATTCCAACGTTTCCAAATATGTTCTGAACCATTTTGTGACACTTTCAGACGGCAAATTCACTATATCATGTTTCTCGATAAATTTGCTATCGTTTGTTCTTCAGTGATCGGCTTGAACACGCTCGACAAAATCACGGTCTTTCAAGCGTAGACACTGCTCATGGCCCGTTTTTGCCCTAATAGTGGTTTCGTCAAAGGTATTTGAGAATGTTCGGTCAGCCCTTGTCGCAGACGCCCTCATATTGATGCAGAAAATATTAGGATACCTCCCACAAATTCGATGAAAATTCGGTTCGTAAGCTCACATTTCCAAATGAGAATAGCTTTACGGTGCCGGCATAAATAGGCTAATGTTTCGATGGAGATATGTTGATAAGGGGCGAAATTTATTGTATGGCGTTCGCAACTAGATACCGCTAAAGCAATTTATTGCAAAACGGTGGTTTAGTGCGAAAATGCTTTCGCTCGTCCAACTGGAACGCATGCTATCTAAAACCTATTTCGAATTTTTATACTTATCGCGAAAAGATGTTTGTATCTTATTTTTCCAGCCGCTTGTCTGGTGATGGGCATGCCGGGATACAAACGAATTTAAAAAAAGTGTACTAAAATCCTCGGGATGAATGAAAACACAAATTGTTAGCAAAAGCAAGGCAAAGCTAACGTACTGTGCTCTCATCCTATGGTTTAGGGTGCGTACAAACTCTTTTAAATCATTTTCTTAAAGTACTTTACAAAAAATATTAAACAAAAACTCTTTGCAACTGAGTACGAAAGTCTCACGGGGGGTAATCACAACTGAATAGCCTGTACGTGGCCAGGAAGTGCTGGTACACAGTAATGCGAAGCGCACTACTAGTAAACAGGAGTTCATTCGAAACTATATATAAATGTGTTTAGTTTCATATTATATTCCACAGTGTCAGCCGCCGACGAATGACGCGGCCTAAACGGAAGGTTCGGTGGTGCTAACGTGACACTAAACGTGTTAAGGAGCTCTCTCCACTTAAATGAGAAAGTGCAATTTTTGATCAAAAACAAGACAATCTTCAATTAGGGTGCCTTACCGCATAGTCGAGTAGATAAGGGTCGCGACTACCAGATCAGTGTTCGGGGATTCCTGTCGCAGTCCGGTAGGTTATTCTTGGTCGTGGCTATAGCGAGCGCTCAGTTAGTGAAGACATAATACTTATCGATTGGTCACACACCCACTAAGCTTGCGGCTCAAACACTCTATCGCTTTCTCCTCCACCACCGTCTTCAGATCATCAACGTGTTGCACTTGCCCTGCACCGGCAAACATACCCTGGGTGACTGACTGGTCATATAAACAAAAAGACAAAAAATTAAAAATTTATAAATAAATAACATTTAATTAAGCTAAACGAATTTTTATGTTACGACATTTTAGAATGTTATCTTAAAGGTATTTGTAAAGAAACCGCAAGATGAGGATGAGAATTGTTGATGCTATGCAGTTTGCGCTCTGCGTTTTGCAAGTTGTTGCGCGAAAAACGCATCTAATATTTCAAGCACACGTATCACATCAACAGTTTGTTTAACAATTTAAAATTTCGCCACGCCTACAATTGTTTGTTTATATAATTCTTAGACTACTTAAGGTATCCGAAAAAGAATTCATTCTTTTCATTTTGTCAGCGAGCGATTATTGCACATTACATATGTACATACACATATGTACATGCCGAGTAGGTGTGGAAGGACAGTAACGAATATAGGAGCATTGAACATTCTTGGGTAAGGTGTTAGAGTCGCTACTTCATTCTAATCCATATTCATATTCATTTTCAATTAATGGCTACAATGCTTTCATGCACACACTATTGCACTTATTATTATATATTATTTACATTTTATTATAACATATTATTGCGATATATTTTATGCATAAGTTCAACTTTTATTAACTTATTTTCCTTTAACTTTATTTCATTTTTGTTAAAAAGTCTCTTATTTTTATTTTTCAAATATTGTCGCCTTGAGTTGAAAAAAAGAGGAAAACAAAAAAAAGCATTAATATTAGTTCCATTTATTGTTCATTCTTCTTTAGATATTTTACGATCTTATCAGGGATATATCATCACGTAAAAAACAACGTCAAACCGAGGTACGACAGCCGACAAAAACCAAATCTCACTGCTGCCAATTGCTGTAATAATCGTTTTGTAAACTTTTCCCCGTAACTTAATCTTTAAATGAAAGGATTCTTGTTCGTTCATTATCTTTTTTTTTTCTTTTTTTTTTTTTTTTGTTTGTTTTTTATAATACGAGTATTCTAAACAGAGGACAAATAAAGAAAAGTGCAAAGAATTGAGAAATTCTTTTGCTTGAGAATTGTTAAAAAAAGAAAGAAACAAAACATTATTTCCAATTAACTTCATTCATTTCATTTTTGACAAGAGATGATGATGATCATGATGATGATGATGAGAAATTAAAGTTATTTGGTTGCTTTCTTTCCTTTTGAAATTTGTTAAACAATTTTTTTTCTATAATTATGGTAATCAATGCAAGAGTATATGCAGATATATATATATATAGATATATATATATATATATGTATGTATATATATGTATGAGAAAATGATTTAAAATTAATATAAAAAAAAAAGAAAAAGTGAGAAAAATGCAAAGCTTTTAATCTTAAAACCAGTCACGTACACTTATAAACTCTCTCTCTCTCTCTCTCTCTCTCTCTCTCTCTCTCTCTCTCTCTGTTTCATACACTCAAAAACACGCACCCAAACATACTTTTAATACTTTGAAATATATATATATATATATATATATATATATATATGTATATATATATATATATATATATATATATATATATATATCTATCTGTATGTAACGTACATAAGCAAATTAATAGATGTACAGATCTATATATACGTAAGTCCGCGAGCAACTGAATAATTTCGCTTTTTCGATCATTTTTCCTTTTTTCTTTTTCTATACGTTTTCTAGTTTCAGTTTTAAGCAAATACTTACGTATTTGATTGACAGTCATATTAAAATTCCACTGTTTCTCATATATTATATATTAGAGTAGTGCGGCGTTTAAAAAAAAAAAAAAAAGTTAAAAAAACTCAAATGATCACTAAAAGCCAAAACACTTGCTGGGAGCAGTGCGACCTAGTTTTACTTCATTTTCCTGGCACATTATATTGCGATACTTTAAGGAGAACATTATTTTCCAAATACTCCCGTTAATAATTAATATAGGCATGCCCATCAAAATATCCGATTTATGTAATATTCCTTTCATCTCTAAGTACAAAATATCTTCTGAAAATCGTCTTCCGGAATTTGCTTTGCTTCGCTTTCCCTCCCTCCTGTCAATAATTGTTTTTATAACTGTTTAGGCTTTTTATGCTTTCACTACGCTTCCCAAAACTATCGTGCACTAGTCTCGGTATTTCGGTTTACAGTATCGCGAAGTACATATAATCGACCAATTGCAAGAAGTTTATATATTCTTGGTTGGGATTCTTGATTCAATCCAATCGATTCGGTTTTCTTACCCTTGATCTAGCTTAAGAGTGGAGAACCGAAAAGAAATTGAAAGAAAACTCGGCCAAACTATTTCCTTCAAACATAAGTTCTTACGTTTATTTGTTATAGTGAATAGCGATTTAGTTTAAGTTTACGAAAATTTTGCATACATTTAATGTAAAAACTAGTTTATGGTACGATTGTTATTAAAAAAAGTGAACTTCGATCTTTATAGTCCGTTTTCGGCAGATGAATGCTTTATCTATCAAAGCCATTGATTTTTGAATGTGAAGCAAGGCCGTCTCAAGTCGTTGCTGAAACAAGTTATTACTGACTGACGAACTTATACTCATATCAAAAATAACTTATTACGAAATATTAAAGATTATAAACATTATTAACTTTAAGTATTCCTTTTGTGCAATGGAATTGCACAGTACACTGAAAATCGAGCACTTAGTCGTCTTTCTTGTCCATTTCAGAGTGAGAAAAAATTGATATTGAAGTCTTTTTCCCATAGATAATCAGTGCTATGCATAACTTTTGTCCCATTCTACCTATCACTGCGTATGTCCATAAATTTGGACAATAATGTCGCTGTCCTATCCAAGTACATACACTACCACTTCCTTCTCGCCTACTTTACACAGTAATGGTGTCTGATCATTACCGTATCTATAAGCGTAGAGAACACCTCCTAGCTGTAATGTCTACTCGAAAAAAAACAAATTAAAGTAAATTGTTAACAAAAAATTTTATGTACGTTTCCAGAAGAAGAATCAATGGCTCGAACCATTTGACCCAATTGCTACCCGAAAGGGCTAACAAACTTTGCAAAACTTGACTGAGTATATTTTTACTTACGCCGAACTGCTTTTTACATTCAAATTAAGAAACTTTTTTTTTACAATCTGTTGTGGAGGGAGCGTAAATTTTATGAAGATTCGTGAGATGAAATTAAGACAAACAAAAACATCAAGTCTTAAATTTTTTCATATAACACCTTTTAAAAACAACATTTTATATGGGAAGCAGTCGCAAATGTGGTCCCATACGAACCGCTTTCAATAGTCAGAGAGACTGCTTAAGTCAATTCCTTCGGGATTTTGTATAAAGCCCCCCTCCCATCAAGTTGTTCTGTGTGCGTGAATACATTTTGCAAAACAACTACTAAAGTGGTGGCCACAGCTTAACTATTGTACAAGTTCTAAAGGTTCGACGACTGCTGCCGGCGTGCAACGTATTAAACTTTTCTGTACGACTTTGTAAAGGCTTTTAATGGCAATGTTATTGTGCCGGGTGTCTTGGGAGCGTGGAAGACTGATTTTATGGAAACAATTCTCAAGACAATCTATGCGCTTCGTAATCCTAACATAAAGTGCACATGAAGCGTAATAGAAACGACGCTATCCTTAAGAAAGGCGCTTTGTTTTGGAGAGTTTTACTGAAGCAGTACATAGCTCCTTTACTGTTTGTTCCCCTCCAATAAGGAGTGTTATGCTTTGCCTAAGTCGCTATTGTCTTTAGTGTGTAAGCCTTCGAAAATTTTAATTTAGCTAATTATGGGGAAAATATTCAACGAAACGTGCACAAAGACGTATAAGCAGAACTCAAGTTTCATTGTCAAATATTATAAAATGCTTACACAATTCGCTTAAACTTACTTACACTTCCATCTATTGCTTAGGTTGTTAAGTAAGGTAGTTAGTTATTGAGACCAACGTAAATTGTCATTAGATTTTTTTTTGTTGTAAAAATAATGCGATATTTAGCCATTTTTTTTATTGGTTTAGTTGTTGTTTACAGCTTGATAAGAATGAGAATTTGAAAATTTTCACTCTCACGAATTCAATGAAAGTTTTTAATAAAAAATTTTAATTCTAAACTACTAGAACTCAAGATAATACCTCGATATTTCGAACCAAAATTCATAAGGCAAAGATTGTTGTATTGTGAAATAGGGAAGAATACGCTTTTCTTCAACCTTTTCAAAATACGCCGCAAACATAGGACGTATGCCATTGAAAACGCTGCGTATTTCACTTTCGGTGGCGACTTTTTTCATGCTCGGCTTCACAACTCGATTACTAATTGACTAAGAGAAGTAATGTGAAAAAAGCTGCGGGAATTTTGAAATTATAAAGTGAATAACATATTTTCATATTGATTTACTTTTCAAAAAATCGTCAAAAATTTGGATTACGTTAAAATCTTTTGCGTCAATTTAGATCATCGTTACATTGCATATTCTGTCACGCACCAAACTCTTTTATATGAAAATGCTCGCATACGAAATAATTTTCAGAAATTTTTTGTAAGCCTGCAAGACACACTTTTGCTCTCCCTTTGTGACCATAATTCCTTCTCCTGTCACCGTCTACGGTGTAATGTTAACAATTCTTTTCGTTGTTCCATTTGCAAGCGTGTAATGGAAGTGCATGAAAGTTGTTCGCCAATTTGCCAGAAGATCTTCAAAGCATATATATGTTCTTGCTTAGTGTAATAGACTAAATCGCTTTGTCCATGTTATCAATTTGTTTTTTTGGAACGCTTACGGTGGGAGTAACTGAAATGTAACTGAATTGTTATCTGATGGCTAGGACCGTCTACAGGAGACAAGGAAAGAAAAGAAAAGACACAGCAAAATTTACAATCCACAATAGGGATTGTACCGACAATGTCGTATCGACAAGTCGGTTTGTCAGCGTAAAGCGCAAGTTCAGTGCCAAAACTCCTTCAATGAGACAACTGAAGCGCCTCTACAGAAAATAAAAAGCTCTGCAATTTTCGATACTCACCTTCAAATTATTAGTAGTATACACATATTTTTTGTTTGTCAGTGTACATCGCTTCGCCTAATGCAAATCCTCGTTCATTTTCACGATACTACTACAAATATTATACCTTCTTTTCATGTGAAGGCATTCTTCTCGTCAAAACCATAATATTGGACGACTTTTGTCATTAGTAATCCCATAGTCGATTTTTTTTTCCAGATATAAAGGCTGACTTTTCATGACAACCGCCACATATGTGGATCTGAAAAACAAACCTATGTGACCTAAATTTCCTACAGTTAACTTTTATTGCAAATTACAATTGTGCTCAAAATTTTCTTTGCAAAATATTGAAAAATGCGCACAAGTGTCTATAATTCATAAAAGCCCATTTATGGGGCGATGTCAACGCATAAATGTATGTGGTGCAAACTCGGTACGGTTAATTTTGATCTTCGATTACAATCATGAGGGAATTGAAAAGTCAAATGAAGATCCAGTTTTGGTAGAAACACTTATATGGTAAGGAGTTCGAAAGATTGCCCAGTTCGGTCCCAATTGTTCACATCAAACTGGTACGGTGAAATACCGTTACTCAGAGATGTTTGTCGAAAAATTTTGAAAATTGCATTTTTCTTTTGTTTACATAGCAATTTTTCAAAACGAAACCCTATGTAGGAAGTTGTCGAAAAAGTGCTCCTATCCAAACCATATCTGGGCTGAATAGAAAAATGCGTGGCCAGACATCAGACGGACAAAAAAGTTTAGATCAGTTTCAAGAATGATTCCAAATCGATCGGTACAATAAAAGATGGGATTACCTTAAGCCCTTGGTTCAGTGTAAAAATTGGATCAATTAAGAATATTATCGATATAAGAGACGAAAAAGCTGGCGGAAAACTTCACTCCGTTGCTTGTGGACGTATGTACGTATATATCTAACGAATTTGCTGTTATTATTCGTTTCGTTTGCAACTACATTTTCACTTATACCATACGATTATCATAAAATATAATGAGTAAGA